TTCTCAAGCTCGGCAAACACTTGAGGCTGCTGGACCTTCCCACCCAAAAACAACCAATTCATTTGCCAAGAATAGCAAAAGGCTATTTAAAAACAACAGTCCAGGGCTCCGAATATTGCTCAGCACTTAAGAGTACTGGCTGTTCTTCCAGAGGACTGAGGTTCAATTCCTACCACCTACAAAAGCTAACAACCATACATGTATAACTCCAGTTCCAGGGGACAGCCTCATTTAGCCTCCATGGGCACTAGATACACATATAGTGCACAAATACATGCAACGTACCCAGACACTTAAAATAAATAAAACCAGCTGGGCCTGGTAGTGAGTGCCTCTAATCCCAACACCCCAGAAGCAGAGTCAGGTGGATCTTCACAAGTTCAAGGCTAGTCTGGTCTACAGTGAGTTCCAGGACAGGGCTACAGAGAAAAATCCTGTTTCAAAAAAAAAATAAATAAATAAAACTAGATAGATGGACAGATGGATGATGGATGGTTGGTTAGATAGAACCACAACCTAAACACATGAACCAGTGGTCTGAACAAATTATAACCTAGAACAACCTGATAACACACTTCTGAACTGGGCCCAGGCAGTAGACTGTTCCCTGGGAAACCTGGCCCAATCCAGGAAAAGAAAGGAGCAATGAGCAGTTCTAGACAGCTCCAGAGCTATGGAAAGGGGTGAACAAAAGTAGTGAACAAAAAAAAACAAAAAAAAAACCCAACAACAACAAAAAAGTAGTGAACAACTTTCGACCAAATGCCAGTAAACCAAATAATACCAAGACTCTGGCAATATGGTGATTCCTCACGTTAGGAAGGGGCTCTGCTCCTAACACTGGCTAGGCAAACCAGCTCAAAAGCACTCTGTTGCCAGCAGTGGTTCTACAATTTCCTAGGAATTGGGCTGCATAGGTCACATATCCCATGACTTCTTACTCTATAATGTGCTCACTCTGGTGAGCATGGGAGAACAGGAGAGGTAGATGATAGAAGAGCAGGCCACCATCAGCCCGGTCTGCTGCTGGTAAGAAGAGGAGAAGGATGAGGTTCTTGACTGGGCCTAGGATTCAGGACAGCTCAGCTGCAGCTCAGCTCTGGGGCAAAAAGACAACTCAGTTTCTGCTGAGCCACAAAGCAATCTCCTTGCAAACAGTTTAGAGCCTTCTCATCCGGTCGAGTATGCTACTGTCCTTGAGAGATAAAAACTGGTATTTCCCCACTGTCCCCTGAAACCAAAGCCTAGATACCTCTGAGCTTGTTCAGAACACAAACAGAATGCAAACCGACCCAAAACCAAAGCCAAGGACTGCTGCAGCCCTGGGTAGCACACTGCCCAGGAAAACACACGCTCCTTCAAAGCAGCCCTTTGAAGCTCTTTATCAGTTTAGTGCAGGTCTCACACAAACGCTACCGCACACTCTTGCAGTTAAGCAGACTTCGTTCCCCTTTGCAGATACATTTAAGTGAACAATTTTCAGCATGTCTAATAAGTTACTCCTAAAAAACAACTAAGACTGTCAATGTCATGCAAGAGTTGCCAGAAAAAGAGAAGGAACCTAAAAATAGAAACACAGGACAGCCCCCAAATCTTGGTTGTAGCACGAGGGCAGAATAATGTTTCTTTATAACCATAAGCCCAAAGCCTGCTAGGGTGAGCGCCACAGCTTGCCAGTCACTACAGATAGCAGCCTGGTACAGGGACACAGAATCCCAGGGGCAAATGACAATGGAGTCTCCAGTAGCTAGCCCCACAGTTCTACCACACTTTCAACTCCTACACAAAAGAAAGGCTGGTTTCACTTCGTGACTTAACCAAAAAGGGTGTAACACATAAAACATGCAAGATTCTTTCCCCGATGACCACCCATCCAAACCAAGTTCTCAGTGTCACATCACATGGAAAGAAATCAGCATGACCAGGAACAGGATCAGAATTTACTGGAGTGGAGGGGGTGTCCCTATATACCTTGCCAAAACTCCCTCCCCACCCACATTCCTGGAAGACACAATTCCAGGCTGGTAGAAGTAAATTCATACCAGACTATGAAGAGCTCTCCAGCTTAGCCAGCTTGCTCATATGAATTAGGACCTCCCAAATTCTGAAGCTGAGTACAGAATGGAAACCTTCTCATTTACAACAATGAATGGAAGGACACTAGACCTCCTAACACCCACACAATGTGCATGCTGCTAGCAGAAGCCCTATCTCAGGTCATGGGGTCACCTAAGCTCAGGCCCATGTTAGGCCTCACTCCTGCTCTTCCAGTCTTCAAATGACCACTCTTAATAATTCTAAAACCTTAAAGCCCATTTGCTCCATTATTTGATGAGGCAACAAGACTTCCTAAGCAATCTGGTACTACAACAAAACTAAATCAACCAGGTGCCAACAATGAGAAAGGAAAACGTATCTCTAGATACCATACCCAAGCTGAATGCTAAGGCCAAACAAAACTAAACACACTCGCCCTATTAAGGAAACAATCTAAGTAAACAACTTCCACATGCCAACCTTAAAAAAAGAAGGCAACTCATCAAAAATACTCAAAGCCTTGAGTTCTACCCTCAGCACACAGGTTAAAACAATACATATACACAGGAGTGAAAACTTAGACAGGATGAGGAGCTATGCCCAAGAATGCACCATGACATGTGGTAGGCTAACCTTGGTGAAATACTACACAGTGAAGAAAAGAAAGCTGGGAGTTAGGATGAACCTAAGAACAACTAGAGGATTGGAGTGCTGGCCCAGTGGTTAAGAGCACTGGCTGCTCTTCCAGAGGGCTCAGGTTCAATTCCCAGCACCCATGTGGCAGCTCACAACTTATCCAGGGGACCTGACATCTGTCACACAGAAATACATGCAGTCAATCACCAATGTACATAAAATTAAAAAAAATGTGAAATACAAAAAATGAACACATGGCTTTAATTCCAGAACTCAGGAGACAGAGGCAGATGGATCGGAGTTCAAAGCCAGACTGGTCTACATGGGAAATTCCATGGCAGATACTGTCTAATTAAATAAAAACAAAACAAAACAAAAAAAAACGAATGATATAGCTTAGAATAATTAGAATAATGCCAAGGGAAACAATGATGAACGTAAGGGGTAAGGCAGAGTGGGGTGTGTGAAGCTAGCAAAAGACTGTGGGTAAGACTGATGGTCAGGTACTCACTATCTGCTCTAGTTAGGTAGCAGACCCCTTTTCTCAACTGCATTTGGGGTGGGGGTGGGAGGATGGGGGGTTGTTCAAGGCAGGGTTTCTCTGTGTTGCCTCCAGACTGTTGGGACTAAAAGCAAGGGCTAGGCCGGGCAGCGGTGGCGCACGCCTTTAATCCCAGCACTTGGGAGGCAGAGGCAGGCAGATTTCTGAGTTCGAGGCCAGCCTGGTGTATAGAGTGAGTTCCAGGACAGCCCGGGCCGCACAGAGAAACCCTGTCTCGAAAAAACAAAAACAAAAAAAACAAAAACAAAAAAAACAAAAACAAAAACAAAACAAAAAAAAAAGCATGAGCTACCACCATCACCACTTCAATAGCACTATTTCAGATAAAGCCAAGTACACAGCAGTGTTTCCTCACCAGCATGCAAAATCTGAAACCCAACAAAAACAGTGACCAAGAATTATAAAACTGAAAACTGTAAAAGAATCTCCTCCTCACAGCTAGTTTTACACCACAGCATTAAATTTAAAATAAAACAGCTTATTTAATCCAAGACTCACAAAACAGTTTGTCCTTATGACTAGTTGGAGGCCACTGTCACAGAGAACACCTGCTTAGCAAGTTTTCCAAAGTGATCACCTAACCCTTTCCTAAAAGGGTTATCTCAGTAACCCAGTCTTCAGGTAATGTTTTTGCCTGCACAAGGGCAATTTATGCTTCATTTATCACAGTCTTATGCCTAACACAAGGCATAAGACTTGTCCTGATACTGGAGCCTCCTGGTCAACTCATTACCAGCACTATTTGGTCTGCAAAGTTCCCAGAGCACCAAACCAGAGCGTCTTAATCCTACTAAGCATATTAGGCTTCATAAATGGGGTTTCATTACAAGGTTACCTTGTTCTCCACAATAGGAATTAACCAAAGAAGATAATGATTTCTGCACAATCTGTGTTACAGATTATAATTTATCTTTGGAGTATTCAAATAGTTTGCGTTCTGTTAAGTACCAAATATCATAATATAGAAACCAGATTGGCCGGGACTCTAGTTTGAGAGTCCAAGTCTCAAACTACCCAGCCTTCTAGCCACCCTGAATCAGTAAGGAATAGCTAGGCAGTATTCAGGTAAGTAAGAGTCCTTCTTGGATTCAGAGGACCAGGCCAGTCCCCAGAGAATAACACTGCACATGATAGGCACCCTCCACCCACCCGACACTCAGAGCACGGATGACACGCGAGCGCAGTCCCGTGCCTGGACCGACCCTGGGCTACCTCAGCGCTCGCTCACCTGGGTCGCCGCCAGAACAGCGAGACTTGAACTGACACCACGCGAAGGCGCGCCTTAGCCCTGTCACCGGCCTCATTCTAAACCTTGGCTCTGTCTCTAATCCTTGGCCCTAGACCTTATACCCGCCTCCCGTGCGTCCCTTTCCCCCTGCCCCCAGACCCGTCAAATCCCCTCTGGTCCCAACCTGTCCCATTCGTTCAGCGTCCTAACCTCTCTGGCCCTATCGCCCGGCATGTCAGTCCCCTTTTCTGACCCCTCTGGTCTCATCTCATACCTGGTCTAGTCCGAATGTCTCCCTCTGGTCCCATTCTGCGGCCGTCGCATTCCCCTTCTGGTCCCATCCCCCGTCCCAGTCCGACTCCGGTTCTGGTCCCATCCCCCCGGCTCCCAAACTCGTCCGACACCTCCCGGTCGCATCCGAAGCCACTGCGTCCCCGCGTCGGCTCCCCTCTAGTACCATCCTGGAACCGGATTCGTTCCCCGCCCGTTCCCCTGTAATCCCATCCCCCGACCCTGGACCCCGCCGCGCCCGCCCACCTAGGCCATAGGCCTTCGCACAGATCCACTGCAGGTTGGCGGCGATCTTGGCCCGCGCCGCGTCGTAGCGGTCCAGCGGCACCAGGTCGGTGCCCTCCGGGGGCGCCTCCATCCTCCTCCAGCCTTCGGCGGCAGAGCGACCGCCCGCGTCCACCATCTGCAGACAAAGGCCACGGCGGCCCGGCCGCAACAAAGACGCCGCCGCCCTCCCGCGCCGCCCGCCCGGGCGCACGGCCCTTACTTCACGGCCGCCGCCGCCACCACCCAGGCTGCTGCTGCATGCTGCGGGCGCCGAGCTGAGGCCGAGAAGGCGCCGAGCGGGCCGGGCAGGCGGCGGCGGGCAAGCGGCGGCCAAGGCAAGCGCGGGGCAGGCGCGGTGCGAGCACGGGCTGGGGGCGGCGGCGCGTGCGCGGCCCCGGAAAAGCGGCAGCTGAGGCGGCGGCCAACGGGTGGGAGCTAACGCGCCGCCGCCGCCGCCGCGTCACGCAGGCGCATTTACCGCCTCCCGCAGCCCCACCTTTCTCCGCAAGCGCAGTAGGCACCGCCCCCGTAACCCTCCCGGCTCGCCCCGCCCTACTCCTGCAGGCTCCGTACCTGTCCCCTTCTTCGGACGCTCTAGACACACCCTCAGCCCCGCCCCCAGCCTTGGTCCTCTGCTGGCGCAGTGGACACTCCCCTCTAACAGCCCCGTCCGGGTTCTTAGTAGCTGTGGACACACCCTCTGCGCCGCCTCTTCTTCATCCTCAAGGCTGTAGACACGCTTGTCCATCCGGCTCCTCCCCCACCCCCCCCCCCCCCCCCCCCCCCGGCCCCCCCCCCCCCCCCCCCCCCCGCGCTACAGTGGCCACGCCCCTGACACGCCCCTGTCCGGATCCCGCGCAGACGCAGTAGTCTCTTCGGATGGCTAGCCTATTTCCCAGCAACTTGAGAGACTAATCTCTGGCGCTGTTTGGTGATTGATTGAGCCTCATTCCTGCGTCCAGGGATTGATTCGTCTCTACCTCTGGCAAAGCTAACTCCCTGAGAACTGAGAGCCCTTAGTCTGCACGGGCGCTGTGTCTGTGAACAGAGATGCCGAGACATCTCCGCCGAGATTGGCAGAGTGCGCGCGGCTGGGAACCACACCTGAGAGATTACCCCAGAGAAACAAGCCCCGCAGCTCTCGGGAGTCCGGAGCAACGGCGAGCCCCGCCTCCTTTCCGGTGGGCACTAGCAGGTCTCTCACCCAGGTTTGGCGCCTAAGGGAAATGGATGCCTGCCTAGGACCATTGTCGCGTGTGACCTGCATTTTAATGCTTTAAAGGAGCAGTATTTGTGAAACCTGGGTGCGGAAGGAGAAAGATGTCGCTGGAGAGCGGATCGCGCACCAGACCCTGAGAAGCCGCAGGAACCCTCCGCCCCCGGGCCTGGGTGGCCTTACTCACCATCCTCTGCAAGCTTCAAGGTGCTTAACTCCTGTCATTGTCAGAGCTGCCCTACCCATAAAGAAGGCAGTAGGTAGAGTGAATGCTGTACCGGAACCCATCCCTCAGGTGCCGAGGAAAGAGTGCATGTAGTCAGATCAAGCCGCAAATGAGCCTGGGCATGGTATCCGATGTTTGTAATCCCTCCACTGGGGAGATGGCGGCAGGAGGATCTAGATGAAATTCAAGGCCGGCTTCAGCTACTGGAGATGAGACTCTGTCTCAAAAAAACAAAACAAAAAATGGGTAGAGGCTTCATGTGGCAAGTATCTAAGTGCATCCCAGTGACTTCAGAGCCACCGTATTTCTAATCGAAGTTCCAGGTCGGCCAAAACCACATAGTGAGACCTTGTTTTAAATAAAATGAAATAAAAATTGGCTAGGACTGGGTATCGACAGAGAGACAGAAGACATTTGGACAGAAAGGGGTAAGAAGTGTGGAGAGCTTTGGGGCTGCTTGGCAGAAATCTGACATTGGCCAAGGACAAGGAAATGGGCTTTAGGCAGGAATCTGATATTGGGCCATGACAAGGAAGTAAGTTCAGGCAGGAATCTAATTTTAGACTAAAACAGAAGTAATTTCAGTGAGGAATCCTAGTCTTAGGCTAGAACAAAGAAATAGGCCTCAGGCATGAATATGACTGTGGGCTAGGACAGGGAAGTAGGCTCAGATATTTTTGTCATCCCTATGAGCCCTTAGAAACAGCGATCATGAGAGTGATCACGAGTGATCAGGAGAGTGATCACGAGACTCTGTATATTGCCTTGTTTGTTCCTTGACTGTTTGTTTCTATTGTATTGTTGGTTCCTCAACCTAGAACTGACCTAAATACTTGCATGTAATTAAAAGGGTTTAAAAGAAATGTGAGAATAAACAAACCTGCCTCAGCCTTCAGCCTCAGAACTGGCTGGGTCATGCTGCAATTTTGTCTAATCATTTCTTTTAATCCTCACTCCTGTGCTGGAGAACCTGTTGACTGACTGAGCGGGCTTGGTCAGATGGCGCCCAATAAGGGGCTCCAGAAAGTGGGATACAGTGAAGGACACTGCTGGAATGGGAAGCCCACACAAAGGAAAGTAAAGAAGATTTGGGCCAGCGGTAAGTAATGGTAAGATGTGTTTTGTGTATGTGTTTAGAGTTATGCTAAAATCTAGAGAAGTGAAGGTAATTCTCATAGATGCTTTTAGTCTTTGGACCCTGACTAGAGACAGTTTACACCCTAGACATGGGTTTGAGAAAAACAGTCCTCCCCGACAATCTGGGGATGCTTTGGAGAAAGAGAAGGAAAAGGAACTTAAGCTGTCTCAGAGCTCTCCTAGGAACAGGTGGAGGTCAGGAGACGTCCTGCCTCCTCTCTGCCTCCAACTGGAGAAATGCTTGGTTCTGGGTCCCATAGATAGGATATCTGGTTCACTTTTGTGGGACATCTAATCCTCTTTCCTGTCTATTGCCTCTCCTTGGTGCACCAGTCTGTCCATGTCTGTCAGTTTATGTCTGTTTTCGTTTCATTGCTTGAATGTTCCATGTTTAAAAGAAAAAAAAAAAACAGTTAAAACTTTATCTGCTGGTTGTTCAGCCCTTGATTCAGTTTTTAACTAGTTTCAAAACGAAAAAGGTAAAAATGAAAAGTAAAAATATAAAGTAGTTTCAATTGGCCTTTGGAGTCCTACACCTGTAGTTAGGAGTCTAGCACAGCTGGACAAGTCTTTCCATGGTCTCATTGTCTGTAAAAGCCACTCTTAAAGGGGCCAGCAGTTTTTTGGGCTTCTATGATTAGGAGCTGACGGTTGTTTCTCCTAGAAAAATCTGAGACTGATTACTGGGTTCAGCAGGTGACAAGGTGCTTCTCTTGAAATTACAGTTAGAAAAAGTACGAATTTTGTCCGGTTTAAATAAGTAAATGTGTGCAGTCACTTCATTTTTGTTTCTGACTGGTTTTAAAAGTATAAATATGTGGGCTGGAGACATGGCTCAGCGGCTAAGAGCACTGACTGCTCGTCCAGAGGTTCTGAGTTCAATTCCCAGCAACCACATGGTGGCTCACAACCATCTGTAATGAGATCTGATGCTCTCTTCTGCTGTGTCTGAAGACAGCTACAGTGTACTCATATAAATAAAATAAATAATATGTTTTAAAAATATAAATACGTTCTACATGTCTTGGTTATAGATTATTGGCTTATAAGTTATTGGGTGCAATTAAAAATTTGTAATATTGGGGGGCTGGTGAGATGGCTCAGTGGTTAAGAGCACTGACTGCTCTTCCAGAGGTCATGAGTTCAAATCCCAGCAACCACATGGTGGCTCACAACCATCTGCAATGATATCTGATGCCCTCTTGTGGTGTGTCTGAAGACAGCTACAGTGTACTTATATAAATAAATAAATAGTTTAAAAAAAAAAAAAGAAAAACATTAAAAAAAAATTTGTGATATTGGTCACAGAAAGTTGGTTTAAAACTGGTGACTCAGGGTTGGAGTCATTCTGAACAGCAACACATGGCATGAGCCGACCCAGGGAAACAGGTCTCTAAAGATATGTCTAAACTAGGTAATATTTTATGTATTATAAAGACTTATAAAAGATTTAGGGCAGTGTCTCTGTGAGGTATTGGAGGCTGTACTGTCTTGCATTCGTGTGCAGAAATTAGCAGCCAAACTTTGCAGCATGGGGGTGATGCACTTGGTGTTGATTTTAGAGAGACTGGATTGATTGTTGGAGGTTGAGTTTTACTTTCCAAAGTTATGGTTGTGCTCTTGTGTTAACAAGGGAAACTGGAAGATTATAGTTAAATTGTCACTGTTCCTTTGGCTGCAAATTGCAGTTAGATCACAGGTTTGGGATTTTAACTCACACATATTTATAATTAAGAAAAACATTCGGCAGGTGGAGATTGTTGCATGGTGTGCTGCGAAGGGTTGATGAGGCTATGGAACTTGTGGAGGAGGCGTTGTAGCCTGGCTTGCCTACTCTAGCTGCCATTCCAAGAAATGCATATAGAATTATTATAGATTTGGAGGATTGTTTTATACTGTTCCTTTACATTCTGGTGACTGTAGGAGGTTTGCATTTAGTGAGTTTGTTTGTAATTTTGGAGAATCCATGAAGTGATATCACTGGAAAATTTTGCCTCAAGAAGTGGCAAATAGGCTTATGTAAGAAATTTTGTGCTGGGCGGTGGTGGCGCACTGTGGGGAAGTGGGCTATGAGAAAAGCCAGAAAGCTTGGTAGAAAGACTTGAAGCCCCGGTAACCTTGGTCTGAAAAAGATCTGTAGGACGGCAGGCTGCTTCGAACTTTCCCAGAGCCAATGGCCCTCTTAGCTTCCACTCCCCATGGCCCCCTCCCACAGAGAGGTCCATGGCCCTTATCACGTAGGAATAACACCTCCATGCAAATAAGGCATCCCCAAGCCCTCAAACCAAACCAATAGAAGTTATCTGTTCTCCCCCCAAATCTGTATATATATCCCCAGAGCTCAAAGTAAAATAGGCTGTGTGGTGTAAGATCTCCCGCTGTCAGAGTGCTTTCGTGATCCCTCGCCAGTCACCGGCTATCCTGCGCATTTCAAAGGACAACTCTCCTCTCCTCTCAGTGGGCAGAGCGAACTGAGAGAGCTGTAACACTTTTCTTCCGTGGGCTCTCATGAACTGCCCCCGGAAAGAGGGAACTGAAAGAGCCGGTAACACTCTCC